TCTGGGTTCGGTGGAACCCAGCAACTGGGTTCGGTGGAACCCAGCAACTGGGTTCAATGACCCGAGGAAGAAAAAAGAGGAAGAAAGAAGAGGAAGAAAAAAAAAAGAAAAAGAGAAAGGAAAAAGATGAACGAATTATATTAGTTTATTTTTTAAAAATATAAATAATAATAATAATGTGAGTTGGCATGAAAAAAATTCCACGTCAACATGTTTTCAATTTGCTTTTGCCACGTCATCAAAAAAATAATAAAAAATGCCACGTGAGCGAGTTAACGATCAAAATTAACAGAAGGACTAACGGAGTGCATTTCGTATAGTTAAGGAATCAAAAAAGTGTAAAAAATTGTTAAGGGACAAAAAATGTGCAACTCACTAAAGTTGAGGGACCAAATTTAGCATTTAACCAAAAATTAAAAACCCTTAGCAAAGAATGATTGCTAGAAATCATTATCCCTGAAAAAGGAAAGCATAACTAACAAAACCAATCGTGAATAGCAGCATCATAAAGATGGAGTCAAAGCTTCAAGTTTAATTATGAGTGAGAAAATACAAATGCGCACCTCACAATCCTTCTTATAAAACACAGTTACATACTTTAAAATTAGGTTTTAATTCAACTTATTTATTACTTTTTTAGGTCTTAATAAGAAAGCTTGAAAAATTAATGGACAAAATTGCAACATTTAAAACTTTTGGACTGAAATGAACAAAATCAAGAACATGCAAGCACAATGGTGACAAATGAAAAGTTAAGGGACTGATTTGGTTAAATTTGAAATTCAAAGGACTAGTTTGAAATTATTAAAACTTCTAAACTAAATTGCTTAATCACAAAAAAGTTTTAGATAAAATTAGAATAAGAATAAAAGACAATTTTGACTTAATTTAAGAAAAGTAAACAATTTTAAATTAATTAATTATAATAACTAATTTAATTAAATGATTGAACCAAACCTTTGACCCAATTATTCGTCTTAAGTTTTAAGTGGTTGAGTATAGTTGATCAAGAGTTCCACATTCACCAATCACTTAAAAACTAAATCCCCCATCTCCAAATTCTCTTATGTTCAAAAAGGAAAATAATAATAATAATAATAAAGGTTAGTGTTTGTCTGTTTTACTTTTAAAAAATAAGAGGATAAAAGATAAAAATTACTTCAATACATGTTTTAAAAATAGAGTAATTTAATTTTTTTCAATAAAAATTTATTGAAACAACGTAATTTTGAGATGATTTTACTCTTAATCTTTAGGAGATAAAGTTGATAGGTACTATTTGCATAATAACAATAATAATAATAAATTAAATGATTAATTTAATATTAATTAAGATTAATTAAAATTAATTAATTATATTTATTGACTTCTAATTAAAATAATTAAACAAATTTATTTACTTTAATTAAGATAAATAAATATAATTTATTTATTTTAATTAAATTAATTATCATAATTAATTTATTATTTTATTATATACATATTTTTTTATTTTTTAGTGATTAAACTATTCTAAGCGGGATCTGTTTGACTCCAGAAACATAAGTTAAAAATGGATCAAATCTAACCAACAAATAAAAAGGGGAAATAGGATTTTGTTCCGCTGTCTCTCATTTCCAGCAAAAGCACTTACCAAGCTACAATGTAAATGCACGTGCGAATTTCCAAAGATTCGATTCCCAAAACCCAACAGCAAACGATGAACTCTCTCGACAGGAACCCCAAGCCAGAAACAAATCTCCAGCCAGGCCACCGCTCTCCAAACGTTTTCCTCCTTTTCTTTCCAGCAGCTGTTCCCAAATTCCTCCAACACACCAAGAAAATTTTTCTTTTTTATTCTCCTCCTCTGTCTGTTGCACAAGTCTTCCTTCAACCCCTCCTTCCGCGAAGCTTCCTCTTCTTTGCTGGATGTCGGGCCATCTGCTCAAGAACGGGGCTAACGGAGCATGAGGAACGGACGAGCAAAGAACGGG